TATATATATATATATATATATATATATAGAGAGAGAGAGAGAGAGAGAGAGATCGCAATGAAATAAAATAACTTATTGACAAAAATAGATTAGATATCGAAAAACAAATGCAATAAAATGTTGTAAACTTATCTTTCTTACCCATAACTTAGCAGCTCGTTTTTGCTGATCAGAGAAATGGATCTAAATCTCTGATTAATGGATACTGTCTGCGAAACATTGAATCGAGAAGATAAATTATGGACGTTTTATTTTATTTGTTTACTATTAATGCTCTATTTCTTAAAACTGAGCACTTTACTTTAAATGACCGCTTGCCTGAAAAGCGTTATCTCTGAGAAACACACTGATCAACCTTTTTTGGGGGGGCGGGTTGTAGGGATATCGGCTGAGAGCCAAGGGGGCGGCAGATAGATAATATTTAGGAACCACTTGTCTACGAGGCTTGCTCGTCAACCATTATCCCATGCCGAATCGCCTTTGTGAATATAGAGTTACGAGTTGATTTGTAAATTAAAAACAACGCCAACAATTAAAATAACAAAGAACTTAGTTACATAATACCAAAGAAATTCTTGTACGCTTCTTGGTCACACTAGACCTGGGTATAACGATAAACTACATCCGGCAAGAAAGCCTCTGATTGGGAAATTGGAGGTTTTGAGGGGCGTGGAATTATCTATCAAATGCTAATGTTCCCAGGTCGACCCTGATTCAGAGTGGTAGCACCTGTTAGGGTTCCAACTATAAGCATATAGGGAACTCCCAAACAAACAAACAAACAAAACATTATGAAGGTATAAATATACATTTTTATAGTAAAAATACCGGCAATACTTTTTTATGTATAAAAATACCAGCAATACATTTTTATATAAATAGCAGTATATATTTATTGTAAAATTACCAATAATACATTCTTGAAGCAAAATGACCAACAATACATTTTATAGTAGATTTACCAACAATACATTTTATAGCAGAATAACAACACATTTTATCAGTTGTTGAAAGCATACAATATATATACAGTCATCGACAGTGTGGCAGACGTCCGATTGCTTCAAGCTGGGCTCGAAACCCGACTGATTTGACATCAGTCAAACATCTTACATCTTGGCCATCGTCTCAGAGAAGAAATAAATTTTAACGTTTTTTCATTATACGAAATACGTCAGCGGCTCGGAGAATTCAATTTAATTTACTTGAAGAGTAATGCTTAATAGCAGTAGGAGCGCTTGTTTTTTTCTTTCCTAGAGAGCTCAACCAGATTTCCAGCAACATATATATATATATATATATATATATATATATATATATATATATATATATATATATATATATATATATATATATATATATATATATGTCATTGTGTTCAAAATATTTAGATTTTGGCAGAGAGGTGTAGTGTTGATATGCTGCTAAGCAATGTCAATCAAACTACCAGTGAAAGTCGTAGTTCAAAATCCAGATTAGTCACATTCCTTCGTATATTTCACTGCTATAATTCGCATCGATAAGTCACTATATTTGGGCAAAGCAACTTCTACGGGAAGGAAACTGAAAGAAAAGAAAATCTGCAACTTCTACGGGAAGGAAACTGAAAGAAACTGGTATGAACACCACCCAGACCCGGTTACGGAGATAGGACCTGTTACAATTCTATGGGACTACACAATACACACTGACAGAACAATCAAAGCCAACCGCCCAGATATTGTGATTAAAGACCACAAACAAAAAAAGTGCCTTCTTATTGATATGGCAGTCCCTGCTGACTGCAATGTATCTTTGAAGATATTCAAAAAGTTGTCAAAATACAAGGACCTTGAAATAGAAATCTCGAAAATGTGGCATATGGGAACATCAACAATCCCTGTTGTAGTTGGAGCCGTAGGACTGGTTGGAAAAGATTGCAGTAGACTAATTGAAGGGATTCCTGGAAATCCATGCCTCAAGGAGATACAAAAAATTGTTCTGACAAGTACAGCCCACACTTTATCTATGTAATTTTTTTTTTTTTTCAGTGGAAAGTGTCATGATGCCATTTCTAACCTTAGGTCCCTGTGCGGGACCCGGAAAGAAATGTGTAAACGCCAGAAATCAAGATAATAATAATAATAATAATAATAATAATAATAATAAATATATTACCCAATAGAATGTCAGTTTGAATTGCGAATTAAGTTTGTGGGTTTTACCCACATAGTTTCACCAGTTTCCATAAGTCGTTAGACGGCGCTGTTAAACGTCTAAAAAGTGAGACACTTCCTGTTTACTTTCTCCCCCCTCTCTCTCTCTCTCTCTCTATCTATCTATCTATCTATCTATCTATCTTTTTCCCCTCACTATGCTGGAGTGACAAGACCGCTGAGAACTCTTTTTTCTGAGGGTACTTGATAACACCACGATGACAAATTTTGTCCATTTTCCAAGTTGCTACCAGTTACTTTAGAACTCTTCTTTGTGCACTCAGATGTCAGTATATCTGGAAAAAAAATGCAGTTATTAAGAAGAGTTGAAACTACTGCATGCAACATTTTACAGCTCTAGCGTCACTCCTTCATAGTCAGCTTATGAACGTATTAGCTCAGGCAGGGGATGTCTTGTTAATTTTAACATCACCAAAACAAAAATGGTCTCTTTTAATCCTCTGAGAGAATTTTTACACCAGATGCCAACCCCCAAGAGAATCACTGATTGCACCTTTTCGGGCTAACATTTTCCGCTGGAATGAAGTGAAAAGATTATATTGAATCAATTGCTAGGTCTGCTGTTAGGATAATTGGTTCACTGTGTCATGCTAAACACTTTTTTCTCACCAGAATCTATCTTACACAGTTATGTCTACCATTCGTCCATGCATTGAATGTTCCTGCTACATCTGGTCTAGTGCTTCTGCTATGTATCTAGAGATTCCTGATAAATTTAAAGAAGAATCTGCAATGTTATCGATCCTGACCTGACGTCTCGGTTTCACTCACTTTCCAACCGCCGTAACATAGCTTCCCAAAGCCTTTTCTATAAATATTTTTATGGTAATTGTTCTGATGAGCTTTCCTCTTTGACACCTCAACTTAACGAATTTAAGCGCAGTAATTTTTTTTAATCATTTCACCCCAAGCAACGCAAAACCTTGCAAATAATTCAATATAATTTTTTCACTCTATATCAGCGGAAGGCGTTAGCCGAGTAGGTGCAATGAGTCACTCTCCTAGAGGTTAGCATCAGCCATACCGATGAAACGCAAAAAAGGTTATCTTAGATGATTAAAAGAGAGTAGTTTCGTTTTGTAATCGTTAAAACTAACAAGCCATATCTTACCATATTTAAAAAAACATTATAGTTCATTTTTGAGATCATCTGCCAATTTGACCTTATCGAACCGACCAAACTTACCATTTAGATAGGAGTAAATACTTGTGCTGTCAGCATAGATACAGAATTGAGAACTCATGACATCAGGAAGGTCGTTGTTGAAAATTAGGAACAACGTAGTTGTAAGGATACAGCCCTTGGCAACACCTGCATTAATGCAAAAAGATCTAGAAGAGAGGCCATTCAAGACAACTTTCATTTCGCGATTTGATCTGATTTTTTTCTAGAAATACCCTAAACTTTCATTGTGAGACTGGAACCTCAAGAAGATAACCAAACAAAAGAGACTGAAAGAAAAAGGAAGATGAAAGAGACTACTAATTGGATGATAATTGTTGGAATTCACAGGAAAGTGGATTGAAAAGTTGAGAAGAAAATTAAAAACGAAATGAGTTGAAAAATTATGTTTCAAAATAATAAAATGTAATCGCAAACAGTTCCAAGGAGAATTGAATCCAAATTTAACTAGACGGAATTCAGTAAGATTGAGCAAAACCAAGACTACCCGCCCTTTCTCACATCCTGTCGATAAGAAAGAGACAATAATTGTATCATCGAAGATGTCAGAGCTGGAAAATAGAAACATATATGTTGTCGATAAAGAAAACGGGTGGTCACCGAAATGACAATCTAAATTGTTCTGGACAAAGAGCCAGGGAAAAAAATCTGATTTGAATTGGCCACTCAGAAGAAAAATATCCCTAAAAAAAATAAAGAAAAGGGGCGGGTTCATTCCTCAAAAAAAGTTTGCTTGGTTTGGTTTGGTTTCTTTTACGGCATATCAACTTAAATTGGTTATTTAATGCCGACAAATTTTTTATGGTTGGTAATATTTCTTCAAAAATTGTTTCAAAAATATATTGCTAGTAATATTTTTTTTTAATAATAATGGTAATAATTTTTTACAAAAATGTATTGCTGGTATTAAAACCTATTTTTACACTTTCATAGTGTTTTGACCCCAATTTTGGGGTTAACTATTTGTCCATAGCTTGAACACTAACAGGTGCTACCACCCCGAGTCAGGGTGGACCTGGGAACACCAGTAATTAAGAGGTGAATCTACGCTCCTTAAAACCTCCTTATCAGAGGCCTTGCTGCTGGATGTAGTTTAACGTCTTACCCAGGACGGAAACAAGTTTGTCAACTCGGAAGAGCGAGAGTAACTCTGAAAGTATTGGATGCAGTCTGTCGATGAAAAGAAGAAATAACTGGATAATTTTTTTACATCACCAGTACTTTTAACTATTTACCAGCAACCAACATCATATGACTTACAGCCACATCACCTTGAAACACCGAATTTAGGAGGAATAACAAAAAGAAAAAAATTATTAAGAGCTACAAAGGATAGGAAATTGTGGAGAGCCATGATCAACCACGTTCTGAAGGGACACAGCACATAGAAAAAGAAGTATGAGCTTGAGTAAATGGATGGCGGAACAGGAGTAATAGTAAAAAGCTAAAATTTATTAAGAGCTACAAAGGACAGGAAATTGTGGAGAGTCATGATCTCCCACATCCTGAAGGGACACGACACATAACGAAGAAGAAGACCAACGCTAACATCTCCCAAGATTAAGGGATTTTAAAAGTACAGATTCCATCTGTTCATGCCTTACGGTCATGTCACATTGAAACACCGGTTCTCGTACGATTATCGACGTTAAGCAACGTCGAGCGTAGTCAGTATCTCGATGTGTGACCGCTTGGGAATACCAGGTACTGTAAGCTTGGACATGAGGGTGGTGTAATTGATAATGACTCGGAATTTTTAATGGAGAACCGGGTTCCAATTCCCATTTGGTTCGTTATATTCACTTACGCGCTAATACGCCTGGGAAAAACGTCTCCGAGTCCTTGTGGGTGACACATGGCACAGTGGATAAAGGCGTTGGTTAGATCTAGTGACAGGACCCAAAGAGTGTGAGTTCAATACCCGGTTAAGGCAGTGGAGAACTTTCAGAGGGAAAATTAACAGGAGATAACTGATAACTGACATCCATTAAAAAACATGGCACGTGGAACTAGAACAGTCTACCCCAGTGAGCGAAATAAAGGGTTCAGTTCGACATTCCAACCACCTGAAGAAGGCCGGAGCGTACAACGGCCGAAACGTTGTAATAAATATGGCGACAAGGTGAGGACAATAGTCCGAATAATGTAAATAATGTACATAATACCTCATCTCAGAAATATAGACAGATACAAAAATTGTACTCACAAATACAGCTAGCACATTACATTGAGCTTTATCGAAGTAAAATGTGTATGATCTTAGTTGAGTTTTGGTTATTTTTTTTAAAATGCTCAGTGGAAAATTCTGCCATTTCTGCCTTAGATATCTGGTTGGCACCCAGAAGGAAATGAGTATGCAACAGAAATCAAAGGAAATAACATGATAATAATAATAACCATTGAAGGGTTCCATGGCATTCCATACCTTAAAGAAATTTTTAAAAAAGCATAATTCACTCTTTACAAAGGGCTTTATCGTTGTAAATGGTATGTTTTATTTTCATTTTTATTTCTTTGCATAAATGTTCGGAGGAAAATGTCAGGATGCCATCTCTGACCTTAGGTCTCTGGTTGGATCTGTGGAGAAAATGAGTATAGAGTAGAAATCAGCGTAAACAATAAATAAATAAATAAATAAAAGCCCTTTGTTATTTGAAAATCACTTGAAAGCAACTTTTTACTACACTATATACTTCTAAAATAATAAAGTTTCCTTTTTATTCACATACCACAGCTTCTGATGTAAACTTAAGTGCTTAAATTAAGATGTAATTGGAAAGTATTAATTAAACAAACTTCTCATTATATTTATAATCTATTAACAATGTGTAGAATTCATCGCAGTATTGTTAATATAGTTTACGCGGCTTTGTGGGTGATGAATTATTTTTCAGGCTACAACTACAATGTGGGTAATTATTCGCAGCGTTGTTGATATAAATAGATAATTTTATTGTTCATATAAGAATTTGAAATTAGATTCGTTCAGATAGTTCTGTACTGGAGTGTCGAGTTCAAATTCTAGCTGTGGTCGATGCATTAGCTTTCGTACATTATTTAGGAATAGTAGACATTGGTATTTTGGAACGGGCACGGAAGCAGTCACAAGCTCAAGTATTACGCTCATCAATTAACTGGATTAAATTTTATAAACCATCATTTTACAGTTGAAATGGCGAGATGTAACGAACCGCAAGTTCTATGCTAACATTTTTTAATCGCACTTATCGCTTATAAAACTCTTTCCCGGCTTCTTGCTTTTCAGTTTATTTTGATCTACAAAAATAATAATTATGAAATGGACAAAGTCCGACAATTATTTTAAGACATTTTTTTATGTTTATGCGTTCTTTTTATAGATACAAATATTTAAGTAAATGCTCTGTTTATAATAAACAGTATTAACGATATTTACCGGCCTGAATACCTATTATAAACAGAGCATTAACTTAAATATTTGTATCTATAAAAAGAACGTATAAACATAAAAATAAAAAAAAGATAAAAAATTGTCGGACTTTATCCATTTCATAATGTGTGACGTCATTTGTTTACATTTGGATACGCATCGAGCAGATATGAATGTACGAGAGAAATTCATGGAGATTTGTAGTTTAAAAACAGTAAAATCAACCTTGCTGACCGAAACGCTCCTCTGTGGCTAAATCGGTAAAAGCACGTCAGTCTATGTGACGGTTCTGTATAGGATACAGGTTCGATTCCGGTTGGAGGACGCATATTTTCTATGAAAATTTCTCGAACATTCAGGCCGGTAAATGTCATTAACACTGTTTATTATAAACAGAGCATTTACTTAAATATTTGTATCTATCAGGTCATCCCATAAGTTCTGTCCGAATTTTACCTTTTTTTTTTTTTAAATGAACGAAATTTAAAGAGTATTTTATAATGTTTAATGGAGCTGAACATTATTTTTATGTTTAGATGCATTTAAACTGATCAAATTTTATTTCAGAGAACAATAAAATTAAATTTTGTTTGATTAAAACCCTGCTAACATGGAAGTACCCAAGAATCATTTGAAGCACATAATGCTTTACGAGTTCAAGAAAGGAAACTCGGCAGCCGAAGCGACTAGAAACATTCACTCAGTTTATGGAGAGGAATGTGTGAATGAAAGAACTTGCAGAAGATGGTTTGCAAAATTCAGAGGTTGAGATTTCACCCTTGAAGATGAAGATCGAACCGGACATCCAGTTGAGTTTAATGAAAAGCTTCTTGAAGCAACCCTTGAAGAAAATCCTGCTTTATCAGTTGAGGAATTGGCAGTGGTTCTCAGTTCAAACCATACAACTGTTCGTCGTCATCTTCAACAACTTGGAAAAGTTCCTAAACTTGGAAAATGGGTGCCTCATGAATTGTCTGAAAACAACCACAAACCCCGAGTTGACATTTGCTCTTCTCTCCATTCTCGCCAACTTGTTTCACCTTTTTTGGATAGACTTGTGACTGGCGACGAAAAATGGATTTTTTATCGAAATGTTAAGCGTCGTAGACAGTGGCTTGGTAAAGGGGAAGGACCCCAGCCACAGTCGAGAAGGGAAGTTCATGGGCAAATGGTTCTTCTTTCAATCTGGTGGGATCGCCAAGGAATAATCCACTTTGAATTCTTACCACCTAATGCAACAATTAATGCTCAAATATACTGTCAGCAATTAGAGCGTTTGAACCAAGCTTTGAGGAAAAAAAGACCTGCTCTAGTGAATCGAAAAGAAGTGATGTTTCATCAGGACAATGCGCGACCCCACACAGCAAGAATCACGTCACAAAAAATCGAAGAACTTGGTTGGGAGAAAATTCCTCATCCACCTTATTCTCCCGATCTTGTTCCTTCAGACTATCATTTGTTTCGTAGCTTACAGAATCATTTGGAAGAAACAGCTTTTGTAATACAGGAAGAGGTTAAAACTGACATTTGTGAGTTCTTCGAATCAAAACCAAAAGAATTTTACAGTAATGGAATTAGTAAGCTTGTTAGTAGATGGAAGGAAATCATAGATAATCAGGGAAAATACATTGTTGATTGAATCTGTAATTAAATGTAACATTTGGTCACTTGTTTTCTTTATTCAAAATTCGGACAGAACTTATGGGATGACCTGATATAAAAAGAACATATAAACATAAAAAAATAATAATGTAATGTCAATCCTTATCTTCTCTCTTCTTAATTCCTGTTCTGTAATTGTTCTCTCTCCTTAATAATGTTTTATTTCATCTTCCCCCACCTTCAGTGACCTCTTACGTCTTAGTGGCTTCATTGTTTTGCGTGATTTGTCAGGAAGTACAGCCATAATTGTACACCTTGTCATGGCCTTGAGAGTTTCCTCCAGAAACTACTGCACGGTCCAGATCTCCTTCAGCACGGTAGCTCCAATATTATACAGCTGCTCTCGAAAACGACCTCCAATCAGTTGTTAACTGGAGCAAGAAATGGCTTTTTCTTAGTTAAAGTCTCCATAGGCATTATCTAAGAAAAAAACATAGTTTAAATCTGTCATATCTGGGCTGGAGCTGGTCAGTCATCACTTGCCTGTCGATAGAGTTCACAAGCATTTTGCGGCCTTGTGAGTCATTATATATTTCCCACCCTACAACCTCTTTCCTACAGACGAAATGTCGCGAGTCTCTCGCAATTCTATCGTTATTTCCATGGCAAGTGTTCTGACGCACTACATTCTTTTTTTCCACCAGCCCACACCTTTGCAGCTGGGACCGGCTATGCCATTTATATGAATCATCCCCATTCTCTTTGCATACCATTAGTAAGGAGGAAGTTCGACTCGGGCAGCTTCATGACAAGAACTGCGGCTTTAACGGTCCCTGAAGGACCTTATATTATTCACTAGCAGGCTTAGTGACCTTGCTACTTTAGTATGGTAGCAGAAGCAGTAGTGTTAAAAATAAAATTATGAAGATTATTTTTAATATGAGGATCATTTTTAATATTCCTTAAAAATGTAAACGAATGGACTGATCTCTTGCTTACAAAAATCAATTTGGGTCCATTGAATTTATTTTAATAGTGACAAGTAACGAGTGTCTATTAAAAAAAATTATTCTTCCCTCTTGACATAACCTGCTAATGTGACTATACGATTTATAAGGATTTATAGTCGCATTAAAAATTGTATATTTAATAATGGGCGACATATTTGAGAGCAACAATCTCAAAACTAAAAGAAGTTCAAATCAATCTAAAATATTTCCTTCTTTTTACAAAGAGGCTATTTTGCCGGTCCCAGTAAAATAGAAAAATATTTTTTTAAGCTTATTTTACCGGTCCCGGTAAAATGGACACCCAGGGTATTTTACCGGTAAATATTTTTTATTATTATAAAGGAAGGTAATGTTAAAAATAACAACACACGTATGTAACACAGAAGTTATTTTCACAATCAGTTGTTAAGACCATTTATAATCTTTTCCACCATCAATTGTTAAAACACAAATTCGTTTATTCATCATGAATTATTAAAAAAAATACAGAAGTCTCTGAATATTTTAGGTACTTCAGGCATAAAAGTCTCTGCAAATCCCAAACTTGGCCTTGGGCATGGTTCTCTTGCCAATACACTTCAGGTGCACCCACTGAAAACAACAGTCACAGATCAAAGAATCAAGGTTGTTCAAGTCCTGCCGACACGGCTCACACAAACATTGCTCTGGAAATCTTAAATATAATATATTCTTAGTTCTAAAATACTATTTATATTTACTGCCAAAATAGCTTTAGTGTCTATTTTACCGGGACCGGAAAAATAGTCGATTCGAAATACAGAGTGGACCAAAAGTAGGTGGAATAAGTCAGTGTATCTGTTATATCATTACAATGGTGTTCATTATAACTATGGTATTTTTGGTATATTATTTTAAATTTTATAACTAAATTTATCTAATTTTTTTTCAGATAATTGCATTAGTAAATATAATTGTATATGTAACCTCAAACAAATTTTATCATTTATTGTCCACCTACTTTTGGACCACTCTGTGTATGTGTATATATATATATATATAGATATATATATATATATATATATATATAACTTTTCATTAAATAATATAGACAAGTGTTGTCTATTTATTTTATGTAAATTCTTTTCATAATGTCGGATAAGCTTAATAACATTATCATTAAACGAAGAAAGAAAATCCCAATATTGATCCATAATTTTTAATCCAATCTAAGCTTTCGGCTTACATAAGCCATTATTAAAGATGTCAATTACTGTACAACATATTAAGCAATACACGGACAAGACAGTGATGATAGTCTGTGATTGTTTACATGGATGATTTCCTAACAACGATAAACACGTGTATATAAAACGCTAGAAGCGACAATCGCACCGCAGCTCATGACGTCACACATGATTACGCGAGAGTGAATTCGAGAAGTATGAAGTATGGGAAGCCGTTGGAATAAACCAATGGCTTCTGTTACCAATTATAGACACTTAAGGATATTTGTAGAGATGCCATAGTTGATTTTGTTTAGGTTGGGTTTCAACTGTTTGATGTATATTGATTCAAGGATTTTTAGTTTTTGTCTATTGTTTTCATGTTGAAATATATATATATGTTATATATATATATATATATATATATATATATATATATATATACACAATAAAATCCAAAATGACCTCATGTGAAGAATAAGATATTTCGATCGACGAAAATATTCGTCAGTCTTATTCAACCCCGGTATACACTAAGTTCGTGTCGGAAATAGAAATTTAACTAATAATAAATATATTGAGCTCTTTTGTGGATCAGTTTTAATATTTTATATTACTAGAATCTACTTGGATTATATATCAACGGATTTATTACTTTTACTTTATACATACATACATACATACATATTTATATATATATATATATATATATATATATACAGAGTGGACCAAAAGTAGGTGGACAGTTAGTGGAATAAGTCAGTGTATCTATTATATCATTACAATGGTGTTCATTATAACTATGGTATTTTTGGTATATTATTTTAAATTTTATAACTAAATTTATCTAATTTTTTTTTCATCGGGGTTCTTAATAAGTTCCAGAGACGGATATGCAATGTAATTGGCCCTAAACTGGCATCTCGTCTGCAGTCGCTCTCTCACAGACGTGCCGTCGCCTCTCTCTGTCTTTTTTTACAAATACTTTCATGGTAATTGCTCCGATGTGCTGCTTTCGCTGATTCCCAGACTTCATGAATTCAAGCGTCCTACGAGGCTGGCATCCCGCTCTCACCCTTTCACTGTTGAAACTGTTAAATGTAGCCGTCTCTTCTACTCCAATAGCTTCATATCTCGCACCTCACGCCTGTGGAACTACCTTCCCTTTGCCTGTTTCCCTGATAGCTATAATCTCCAACTATTCAAATGCAATGTCAATCGACATCTACAGTTGCCTTGATCTATCCACTATCCTTCTCTTCATCCTTTCCTCTATCACTCCTATCTGCTTTCGCTCCAAATCCTCTGTAACCCCTTGCGTGCTAGTGGCTTCCCGCCTTGCTTGGGGTGAAATGCTTAAAAAAAATAATGAAGAAAAAAAGATCATTTTATTAGTAAATATAAGTGTATATGTTACCTCAAACAAATTTTATCATTTACTGTCCACCTACTTTTGGACCACTCTATAATAATATTCATTTATCACACATACATATGTTCTTTAGCTACCGCAACGCGGTAAATGTCTTCTCCCTCTTAAATATGAAATTCTCCTTTAAGATACCATGTGTCCATCTATTATTTATCTGAGTTTCTTCCAAATTGTTTTTTGTTTCTGTTTGAAATGTTTTTTCCTTGTTTTCCATCTTTGAAATATTTGTTTCTAGCTTTGATAGAAGTACAATGGAGTAACGTACAGTGGCTCGGATTGAGGAATCGGAGAGCTGAGTTCGAATTCCACTTGCGTGCAAATAACCTTGGAATTGACCCCATCTCTTTCCTCTCCCAGCTATGGGTAAATAGCAGAACAGACTTGGTCCTGGGAAGTTTTCATGGTGTATTTCCTAAATAAAAGGTTGGTTGGTTGTTTTTTGTTTAACACCATATCAACCTCTATGGGTTATTTAATGCAGAAATCTAAATATATTGTACGTAAAATTTGTTTTGGAAGATGATAATGATTTTATTGATAAGAGTCTTACTAATTAACCCATAGCTGGGGAAAGAAGAAATCATACCTTTCCCAAACGTTCTCTTTTTTTCATATTTCTTTTTCTTTCGTTAACAACTAGACACTATATATTGTATACATAGCAGAAACATGTTTTTTTTTATTGCTCGATTTATTCGTTTTCTACGGTTTATCAACCCTTTTGCAGGTTATTATAATTAGAAAATATTTTTAGATTGTAATAAATTTTTTATGATAATAAGGATTTACTGATACAAGTGCTTCTAATTAACGCATAGCTGAGAAGAGAAGAGTTGGATTCATGCCTTTCCCAAGGGTAATTGTGCGTTAGTGAATATAACGAACCTAACTGGAATTGGAACTCGGCCCTCCAATTAACAATTCCGAGCCATTATCCATTACTCCACCAGCACATTCACTCTTGGAGTACCTGGTATTTCCAAACGGTTACCCATCTAGCTACTGACTAGGCTCGACGTTGCTTAACTTCGATGATCGTACGTAAGCCCTTTATACCATCAGCACATCCAAGTTTATATCAATTTGTATTCCCAAGCGGTCACTCATCTAGGTGACTACTAGACCACGCTCGACGTTGCTTAACTTAGGTGATCGTACGTCAGCCCTTTATTCCAGCAGCACGTCCAAGCTTACATCACCTGGTATTCTCCAGCGGTCACCCATCTAGGTGATTACTAAACCACGTTTCTTAACCGGTAAACCGAACGTGAATCGGTGTTTCATCGTGATATGACCCTAAGTAAAATTACACCACCCGCATAACCAAGCATAAAGTATCTGATATTCACAAGCGGTCACCCATCTAGCTACTGACCAGGCTCAACGTTGCTTAACTTAAGGTGATCGTACGAGAACTAGTGTTTCAGCGTGATGTGGCCGTAAACCCCTAAATAAAAGGGTAACACCGGTATGAAGTGTGGTATTTTTTCTTTGAGACCAGCTTATAACTGCTGACATCTTTTTGTAGAACCACATCTCTGTCTCCATAATAAAATGGATTAAACACCGTAATAAAAAGAAAGTAAAGATGAAGGGTGTATCGACCCAGAACGTTGTCATAAAAAGCAACAGTAATAAAACGGAGTAAATGCAATCATATTAATGATAAGCTCGATTTAATTAACTGCTTACTCTTTGCTTAATGATATTATGCAGTCTAGGTTGCTTGAATAGAAATCACTGAAGAAAGATTAGTAGGTAAAATGTTCTTTAACGACTTGATCCTTTTCTTAAAATTTTAACAAATGTCTAAACACCAGAAATTATCATTTGTATATTTACATTCCAACAACTGAAAATGACGAAGAGCACAACAGCCGAAACTACGTGATAAAGACAAGAAGGGCGAGGACAATAGTTCGCATGTAAATAATGATAGCACCTGTGGTAACACCCACCTTGTCTACCAATGAACTTCACTAAACACCGCAAGGTAGCGTAGTATTTAGGACTATACAAAGGAGGGTCATATACTGGGCTACGACTGACACCTAATACCAACCTAATACACCAACTGTTAACATATAAAATCACTTTCGAATAGATTTAAAATTAATATGTTTATATATATATATATATATATATATATATATATATATATATATATATATATATATATATATATATATATCAAAAAAAAAAACAAAAAATAGCATAATAAAGTATGTTCAGTAGATGTTCTTATTTCAAATTCCTGCCGAGAGACGGCAATCGTGCGTTGTTTTCCGCTCCAACACGATTTTGAATTCAGACTTGTTTACATCTGTGCTCTGCCGTTGACTTTCTTGCAATTAAATTTCAGTTGTAGTCTAGAATATATTTTTGTCCATGACTCTGAAGGTAAGTTTCAGTGCAAAAAGCTAATGCTAAGCGTAAGGCTATATCGCTGGAAGATAAGGAGGAAATAATTTATTTTATTCAGAATACTGTACGTATATATCATAAATATTGTAAATAGGCAATGGGGAGTGCTTATTTGTGGTTTGTAGCATGGTTATTTTGACTTATGTTGTTTTTCAACCTAAGCCGTGGCCTCTGGAAACAATTAACGACGTAGGGTAAGGTATAAATGCATATATTTTTAATGCACATTTCGAGAACAAATGGTATTTTTCTGAAATATATTTAACTGCTGCTGCCTCTCACTAGATAAAAGTACACCAAGTTGATTTAGCTAATACAGCAGTAATAGCTCCATTCTGTTTGTTCGAATTTCACCATATGCTTTTCGGTTTAAGGAATGCTTTTGCTACATTTCAGTGAGACATTTTTTAAGCATTTCACCCCAAGCAGGGTGGGAAATCCACTAGCACGAAGGGGGGGGTGCAGCGAGTGAAGGTGAGAAAAAAGTCTGTGTATAAAGGGGATTGAGGAAAGGATAAAAGAAGAACGGGGATCACGGCAACAAAAGATGGCTATTGACACTGCATTTAAATTTTTGAAGATTCTAGAGAAGTAAGTAAGAGGAAGGGAGTTCCACTGTCGGGAAGCGCGTGAAAAGAAACTGCTGGAGTAGAAGTAGCGATTGCATTTAACTATTTCAACATTAAATGGGTTGGACCTAGATGTCAATCTAGTAACTTAAATTCATGTAGTCGGGCATCAAGGGAGATGAAAATATTTGTGGAAAAGACAGAAGGAAGCCACATCACGTCTATGAGAGAGTGATTGAAGTCGAAAAATTTATTTTGATTGAAATTGATTCGATGGGGAAGGAAGTGTGGGTTTGTAAACTGTGACTATTACGGCTATTATAGCAAGACTCTTCGGTAAAGTGAATCGATTCCTGTCAGTCACTGTGTGTTTATCTAAAATAAATACGCTAAAATTCACCTCCATCGGCGGCTTAATGGTAGAATGTCCGTCTGACGTCAATTCAGCCTGGTTTCGATCCTAGCTAGAGGTAACCGGACGTCTAGCCACACTGAAGAGCTGTGATACAGCGAAACAGTCTGTCTGTGGATGACAATAATATATATATATATATATATATATATATATATATATATATATAGAGAGAGAGAGAGAGAGAGAGAGAGGTGGTGGTGGAGTAATGGATAGTGGCTCGGTCTGAGGACTCGCAGAGCCGAGTTCGAATTCCAGTCGAGTTTGTTACATTTACTTACGTTTGCGAGCCTTGTAGCACAATTTGTTATCCAATTCTCTGGATTTGACTGTCCCCCAGGTGTTGAATTCATTTCTTCTGAAGATGATGAATCCATTTACTTGAAAGTGTTTCAACGGCCTTCGTTACAAAGCAGCACATACACGCCTCATGTCAGGAATTCATGACAAAGACTAAGAATTTGTTTTCTAATTCCTTCTTGGTCAGGCTGAGGATCTTTCTGCACCCTCTTCGGACATGTGATTCCATTTTTTGTGATCAACGTAAGTGCAGATATTTCTGTTTTGTTGTGGTTAGCTGTCCAAACTGCTTAAGACAGGATTTCTTTAATGTGGCTTTTAACCAAACACACTATCAATTAAAGATCGGGTATTTTTTTTCTTTTAATTCTTTTATCAGTTTGCTTTTTTATTTGGCACGCGGTATGTTTCGTGATAGTCGCCGCCATTTCTTTTGTAGTAATATCTCTACTGGAAATAGATTCTTTGTCAACCATCATTGAAATCCTGTCTTATCAACATGTGTTCAGGAGCAGATTAACTAACTGAAACAACAGCTGCTACTTCGACACTGTTTCAGGTTTACCTCTTTGCTCTAATTACATTACTCTTGCTGTGTTCATTGCTATTTTAACTGAAAAAAATAGAGAAGTCTAAAATAGAGAAGAAGAGAAGTCTAAAATAGACTTATTAAGAGTAACTTCTGTAGGTTGCTTCAATACACTAAGCTATAAATTCTATGGCATTATTGAAGTTAATTGGACCGCTCGTAAAAAACATGTAATTTTTATAGATTTAATTTCATTGCACTTCCCTCTAGCCATAACAGTTTTCAGAATCGATAAATATTGAATTCTAAAAATCGTTTTAGAATCATGTCCGCAACACATATAGTTTATAATCCTTTCGGTGTATTTTGCAAGACCGGTTACTGCGAAATTCAAAAGTCCTCTTCCTCCTTTTCTGTTTATATTGAATCTGTCGGTATCATATCTGAGGTATTGGGCTTTGTGCATTGTCAGTAATTGCATTGTTCGTCGATTTATAGATATAAATCTCTTTCTTGTCCATCCCAAGAAGGGTCCTGAGTACCTGATCATAGACACGTTATTACATTTCCAGGTACTATTTAAATTAACTGCTCTGCTCGTAAAAAAAGGACAACATTTGGAAAGGAATAATTTTTGTAGATTAGCAGTCATTAGACCTTCCTCAAATTACATGCGTCAGGATCGAAAAATGTTGATTTTTTATCGATTTAGAAGTGAGGTCTTATTTATGATATAACACAAGTGTCAAATCTATCTCTGACTTCTGAAAAAGATCTGTACTTTTTATTTACAAATATCAAGTTTGAAACTGTATAGAAACTATCTCACTCGTTGGCTATTGTGGTATGTGGGGTCTTCCTTACTTTACACGATTCATCAGCATCAACGGAATTAATCAACAGAATACAACCGGAAGTCCCAGAACCCATAATAACGCTAACAGAGGCCTATTAGGCATCTTTGTCACTTCAGCGGTCACTACCTTCACGGCCAACACGAAAAGCTACTCAACCCTTGCTATAGAAGACATGTGACCCTGACCTGGCAACTTGACTTCAGATTTCTGGTTCCTTCCGTGGGAACAGTCGGAGAAATCTCCCTTCGAATCACCTACCAAAGGAAAAACTACACACAGCCCTGGCTGCAGGAGACAAGGCCTGTCCTAGCAGTTTCACACTCAGATTTCTCGTTCCTATTAGTGGGAACTAGCGAAGAATTATCTCTCTACAAAACACCTACTCTACCCCACTTTTTACCAGTTACCGGAAACCCCATTTTTTACCGGTAAAATACGACTATTTTGTACCCTTTTTCAACCAGAAATAAAAGCTGTTGAACAGTTATTTCAAGCCTTGGATTTTGTTCATTCTTCTCTCCCCGCCGAGCACATACACACGCACACATACACACACACACACACATAAACACACAAATTAACAAACACAATCAACCGTAAAAAAATCCTACAACTGTGCTTACGTCATTGATAACTGCGTACAACTGATGATGTTCTTTTTCTCAAATCATAATAGTATAGTTATCAATGAATTAAGTACAGTTTCAAGCTAAACATTTGTGAATGAAAACAAAGCACATGTAACTATTTAAGAAGTCAAGGATCGATTTGACACTCTAGTTATATTATGAACTGGAAAGCTGCTTCTAAAATAATAAAAAAATAATATTCATTTCGATTCTGACAAATGTGACGAGGAGAAGGTCTAATGAATGCTAATCTAGCAAGATTATTCCAGCTTCCACTTTTCCCTACATTTTTACACGCGTACCAACTAATCAAAATAGTGCCAGTTTGATGAACGTGTCAGATTACCCAACGTGCCTACTAAAGAAATTCAGCCATAGATGATGTTACCAAAGCATAATATGAAGAAAAGGTGCAAAAATCTCTCTCTCTTTCTCTCCCCCTCTGTCTATTTCTCTATCTATCTAGTGCACTCGCTTTCGCTCTCTCTCCCTCCCTTTCTTTCTCTCTCTCTCCCATTTTCCTTCATCTACAGAATGCCTTAATATCTTCTCCGGGGGACCGTTTGGTCTGCAGCGAACCATATGTCGCATCGAACACATGGTTCAAATTCCCTAAGCTTGATGAAAAGGAACTATTCTCGAAATGTCGGTGTTGTAACGACTGCGTATTTAAATCACGTTCAGAGTCAACCACTTGTCATGGAAATTGTAACGATATTCAAC